TCGAAGCTCTTTCTCTGTCGTAATTTCGTGTCTTAATTTGTGTTTGCTTTCTTTTGTTGCAGGCACCCGGCATGAAGTTCCGTCCTGGCTACAATGCGGACATGGGTGACACTGGTCTGGCCACCAAGACAAAGATTGGCATCAACGAGGCCATCTAGAGGGATTCTTTTTGCAGAGCGTTTGAATTTGAAATCATCTGGCGAAATGTGTTAATTATGTAATAAAAACAGTCTAGTAAAATTAATTGGAAAGCAAAGAAAGAGTCCACGGGTTGCGGGGAGGGAGTAGGAAATCAGATTTGTTTTCTTTTTATGTTATTTATCTTTCAATGATTGATAACAGTGCGCAGGCGCAGTGCAAGCGGCCACACACCCCCGGGGGAGACACAAAACATATGCGAGAGTTGGGCTAAAATCGATATTTTTCATCAAAAGGCGCACAAACGGAGCAGGGCAGGAAGTTTGCTGAATGGTGAACAACAAAAGGCAAAATATTGAACTGCAGCACTAGCACTTGAACACCCAGACTTCCATCATGGCCAAGCCACACTCGGACGGAGATGCCTCTGGTCTGGGCTATGCCTACCAGCTGCCTTCCGGAGGCCTACTGCTGCGCCTCAAGTCCTCGCTGTCGCAGTTCAGCGATCTGTTCAGCGACTTTAGCAAGTACATCTCGCCCGCCTACCACCACGATCGCTGCGAACGATCCGTGCACATGCGTCTCTACTCGATGCACAAGCGGGAGTTTGTCATGGTGTTCCTCGGCTTCTTCACCTGCTTTGGTCTGGGCATCATCATTGGCCTCACAGGGCCGCCCATTACCAGCACTTCCACGCTGACGGCACAGCAGGTGCTGGCCAACACAACGCTGGCACACAGTCCCACGGTGCTGGCCACGGGACCGTTTGCCATGAAGTCACCGCTGACCACCACGTACTCACAGCAGCTCTGGCTGATAGCCAAACTGGTGACGGATAACAACGATGGTGAGTGTTGGCTGCCAGGTTTACTCTGTCTGCTCTCTGATGTCTCTTCCCTCAACAGATGAGCGCTATGACAAGAGTTTTCAGGTGAGCGTAACCATCGATGGCATCAACGAGCAGCACAAACCGCTGAGCGTCCTAGGCTCTGGCATGGCGCACAATCGAACGCGGCACTTGGTGTGTGTGCGCAACGATTGCGATGAGTTTACGGTGATGCATTTGGGATTTCTCGACTATGCCCACTACATCATCACGGTGCGGTTCTTCGGCCTGGAGTCGTTTCATCAAAAGTACAACATACGCAGCATTACCTTCTATGTGAGTTAGCCGCTGGTTAGTCCTTTTTCCTTATACTTATTTAATTTCTTACAGTTCAAGACATACAGTCCGGAGTTTACACAGATTGAGATCTGGTTTAGGTGCATCTTTCTGCTGTTTACGTTTATTGTTATCGTAAGTTAAAGACATCGACTTGTCAGTCAGAGATTTCCACTAATTCCTGGATCCTTTTTCAGTGCTGGTATGCCCACACCCTGCGCAAGTATCCCGTATACGATTGGTCCATTGAACAGCGTTGGCTGTCGGTGCTGCTGCCGCTGCTTCTGCTCTACGACAGTGAGTCGCGCATTACGTTCTGTAACCCTTTTGCTGGATATTAATTATCCCTACCTCACAGATCCCTTCTTTCCGCTGATATTCCTAATGAACTCTTGGCTGCCTGGCATGCTGGATGCTATACTACAGGCCTCCTTCCTCTGTGCCCTGCTCATGTTCTGGCTGTGCATCTACCATGGCCTGCGGCAGAACGAGCGCAGCTTTGTGCGCTTCTATTTGGTCAAGGTAATTGTCGTCCTGCCCATTTGGCTGTGCGCCATTGTGCTGGCCACCTGGGAGAAGTGCAACGAGCTAAGGGACCCCACCTACAGTCATTTCGTGGACACCAGGAACTACAATGTGAGTAGGGATCCAGCTCCTTGCTGCAGCTCCTCTCTTACATGCTGCACTGTCTTTTGCAGGGCTTCAAGCTGTTCTTCTACATTGCCTGCTGCATGTATGTGCTGTATCTGGTGCTGCTGCTGCTCCGCGCCTACACCGAGCTGCGCTCCATGCCCTACTTTGGTGAGAGATTCCACTCGGAAAGTCTCCAATGCACTCATTCTAATTGTTTCCATTTTGACAGACATGCGCCTCAAGTTCCTCACGCTGCTGATGCTCTTCGTGCTGGCCATTTCCATCACGGTGACGACGAGTCGCTTTGGTTTTGGCATACTGGAGGATAACTTTGTGGCCTCGCTGAACACCACCTACCGCAGTTCCGCTCAGTTCATGTGCTTCTACGGTCTCCTCAACTTCTATCTGTACACCATGGCGTATGTGTACTCCCCCGATGGACGCTTCTCCCAGGCCGAGCTGTCCGTCACCAAGGACAATCCTGCTATTTCCATGATCGACGACTCCGACGAGGATGTAGTCTATGGCTCCGATGAGGAGTCGCGACGTCCACTCACCTCGGTAGGTGGGAGTGGTGGTGGCAAAAATGACTACGACAGCGATTGATTGGCGGAGGGAGACGAGAAGTAGCTAGAGACGTTCCAAAAAATATTCCATTGGTAGAGTGCAGGAAGGGGTTTAAATAATTGTACAAAATAATCTTCAATAATCTCTAAATAAATATTACGAATTTCCTGAAATTTAAAACAAAATAAATCGAGGAAAATTTAAAACTATTTCCTTAATCAATCAACTCAAATAAGAAGCGTCTGCGGAAGGCAGCATGCTATGAATCTTTCCATCACATTCGAGACTTTTTCGAGTCCCAGCAGCGACTCTTCCTTCCTCGCCTTATTCCCTCGTAGACTCGCATTTCTTTACAGAGCAGGTATGCCATATAATCAATCAATTTTATACATCAGTTCTTACATCTAGTTAGAAATTATGTTGTTGCCGAACGTCTTGCCTTAATCCCAATATTTAATCTGTCCATCCCAGCCGGCAGTTGCCACTTTGCTGGCCTCGTGCGGATGCCACAGAGCACTGATGCAAACGCCATCGTGCGCCTGCCATTTCTTGTACATTTTCGTTGTCTTCCAGTCCCAGATGTAGCACTTGCCATCGCCATCGCCCGACACCAGGTAGCTCATGTCTGGCGAAAAGTCCAGCTGGCAGGCATAGCCCGACACCATGTGCCCCGTGAAGGTCTTTTTGCGATTCATTTTGAAGCGATTAAGTGCCGAGAAGATGACAATTTTGTTGTCCAGCGACTGGCAGGCCATCCACTTGCCGTTCGGTGCCAAGGTAACCGCCGGCATGGAATGCATAGTGGGATCCGCAATGTACTTCATGTCCACGGGTATGTCCCACTCCCAAATGCGCATCGATTTGTCGTCCGAGGTGGTCACAAAACGACGATTGTCATCTACAAAGGTAATGGTGCTGACAGAGCCCAAATGCCGATCATATTCCTGCACAATATCCCCGCTGCGTGTGTCCCACTGTGGATAAGATAAATATGGATTAAGTGAGCTGAAGATCAGTCTTCTTTCAATTTGAACTTACGCAAATGATCTTCTTGTCGGAGGTGCCGGCCACAAACAGATGCTGCTTGCTATTATCCGGATGGAACTTGACACAGAATGGCATCTTGCGGGTGGTGAAGCGAGAGACCACATCGCCCGTTTCCGCGTCCCACAACTTGATGTAACGATCGTAGGAGGCGGACAGAAAGTGTGAGCCTTTGTTGTTCCACGCAATGTCCTTGATGGCCTGCCGATGGCCCGAGAATGTGCGTATGCAGCGTCGCTCGCCATACACCTCCCACAGCTTGACGCGACAATCCATGGAGCCGGACAGCAGCAGATGTGCCGTCTTGGGGAACCAGCGTATCGAGGATATGCCCTTGTTGTGCCCCGTCCAGGTGTGTATGTGTGCCTTGGGTAGGAAACACTTCGGTGGCGGGGCATTGGAGCGCAGATTCACACCCAGATCGTGGGGAGCATGCAGATACGAGCGTCCCTGGTAGTCGTAGGCATCCTTGACTGTACACAGAAGAAAATATTAGTATTAGCAGGCGTTTTCTTTTTAATATATTATCCTGTGGCATACTCACTGTGCAGTGTCGCCTTCTCCTCCAGCGGTTTATCCTCGGGAATGCGGCCGCGTTTGTGCCGCTTGGACAGCAGCTCGTCCAGCTCGGCCCTTTCCTGTTCGTTCGGCTTGGCCACACTTACCTCATTCTCGTACTTGCCCCACGGACCCAGAAATCCCTCGATATCATCGGGCTTGTCGTTCTTCTCCTGTTTGCGCATTTTCTTTGCTTTGGGCGCCTCAAAGACCGTCTTGCCATTGTCATCGTATGCAGACTGCAGGTCTCCCACAAATGTCTGCCCATCGGCTGCCTCGTCCACGCTCGGGTCCAGAGCATAGCCGTACGTGTGAAAGGTTCGTCTCTGGTTCTCAAACTCAAAGGCATTGATGTGCGCCTTCTCCACGTATCCGGCCAGCGTGTTTCTTGGTGCTCGCTGTTGCATCGTCAGGTCTGGGTGGTCGGGGCCCTTCACGGGCGCGTACATTTCGTCGTAGCGCGGATTGTATGTTACCTCTTTGAGTGTGGGATCCAGGGTACGCGGAACTGCAGACGCTCCAATCGGCACCACAACGGGCGCCGCACATACCGCTATGGCCGAGGAAACTGAATGTGTTTTGTCTACAGGCAGCAGATGAGCTGGAACAGCGGTTGATGCTGCTGCCCCAGCGGCGTCCTCATGGTCGGAGTCCCCTTCGGAGGAGCTGGCGTAGGATTGCAGGCACAACATTTAGAGGCTGCGCACAAACTCGGTGTACTTGTTAACAAAGTGCTGAAGATAGATAACGATAAGGGTGTACAGTAGGAAAACAAAAACGTTTATAGAAATTTCCATCAAAGTGGCCCGAAATGTATTTTGCAGTAGTGTGACCCGTCTGACCCTCGGAAATATACTGAAATATACCCCTGAAATATACCCTGAGATAAACAAACTAAAATTATAGCAAAATTAAACAAATTAAAGAAAGTTTAAGTAGTAGTTTACGCACTCGTTTCGTTCTTTTCCGACCTTTTCCGTCCCCAGACAGCATTAGTCATCATGACTGGACATCAATGGTCCTACGACATCCTAAAGAAAATTGCCTGTGAGGGCTCTGCCGACATTAACGAGCTGAAGCAGATCTTCGCGTTGGACATCAACTCAAGGAGAAAACTCGACTCCATTCGCACCATTGAAGATCTAATTGATGTTTTGGAACGTGCGGATATGTTGAGCCAGGAAAATATCGAGCCCCTCCACAAGATGACGTTCCATAAACCGAAACTGATCGAAGCCCTCGACAGCTACAAGACACGCGGACAGGCGGAACTCCGTGAACCCATCAATCTCTACCAAGAAGAGCGAATGGCGGAGGAGCTGAGGCAACAGTTACGCGTTAGCCACAACAGCCAGGCACCTCCACTTGTGGCTGCAACTCCTGCACCGACATCGCCACAGCAAAACTACGTGACACCGACTGCGTTCACGGATCGCAAACGGGCGGCTGTCTTCAATAAGATCTCCGAGGAACTTGGGCGATTCTGGCGACAATTTGGGCGCAATGCGGGCATTGGTGAGGGCACCATGGACGACATTGAAGAGCGATATCCACGTGATCTCAAATCCAAAATTATACATCTACTTGGCCTGATCGAGGAGGACGATTGCCATGACCCTAGACATTTACTTATGCGCCTCTGCAGAGCCTTGACGGAATGCGGCAGGAGCGACATAAAGAGGAAGGTGGAGCAAATAATGTCCCACTGAAGAGGAAAGATTGCATGCTAAACTAACTGTAAATGATTTATAATAATACAAAACAACAGTTGAACCAGGAAACCAAAGAACTTTTAAAGTAGTTTTATGTTCTTCCGATAATTAATGCAATTCATGACCAATAAAGATAATCATAAAATAAATACTTTATATTCAAATTGCGCTTGGACAAATTTATATTCATTCGTCTATTAAACTACATCTTAAGGGTATATTGACGAATGTAGGGTATCGAATCTTTCAAAATTATGGACTCTTTATGAGGCTCATTCGGTATATTTTTACTGATTGCTACTTCAGTATATTTCGTGTCGAAAATTTCCCTTTCGATATTGCCCATTCACAATAGGACAAATTAACAATTCACAATGGGAACTAGTTTTCTGTTTCCCAATTCCGTTGTTCTTTCAGTCTTTTTTCCAGTCTGTTTTCCACCGTCATCCGTCAACCATTTCTTTTTAACCGAGCGGAACACGACGCGCGGTTTTTTCGAAAGACCATACAAAAAATATTAATAAATGGCACAAGTGTCGTGATTGTCGAACTATGCGGTGATTTGGGTAAAACTTAACTAAAATCGAAGTCGAATACGACAAATAGCCGTGTGTGCCGTGCCTGTGAATTTTAGCGATTGTCGTACGCGTTCGTTGTTTTTGTTGTTGTTGCGTTTTTCTGGTGTTTTTTTCCTGTACAGTAGATACAATAAGTGTCCAAGGCAGCCAAAACGTGTTAAAGCGTGCGAAAAGTGGTAACAAACACCTAGAAAATGCTGTCGTTGATTTCGAGCCCCGTCTCGCTCACTCCTTCGCCTTAGCTTCTTTTTTCGGCTGCCTAAGACCAGCGTTTTGTTGTTGCGCAGCGTAAACGTGTGCAAAAGCGTGTGTATGTGTATGTGTATGTGTGGGTCGAGTGTGTGCGATTTGTGTGTAAATTCCAAAACATACGCCGCGCCGCTCTTTGCACAGCGGTGGAATTAACAAGTATCATACACTAAAATGTACTATAGCTCACAAAAAGTAATTCCGACTTTTGGGTGTGTCTCTCTTTCGCTTTTTATTATAATTTTCCCACTTTTATGCCGCTTGGAATGTGTGTCTGCCTCTCTTAATGTTCCCCTTTGTTCCTCCATTCTCAGCTCATTCGCTGGCTGAGGGCCCCTGTGTTTGTTTGTGTGGAAAGAGAAGCAACAAATGTGAGGGCGTCCGTACTATCAACTACGTGATGAAATGCATAAAGTGTCTCTGTCCCTGGCTCCCCTCATACCTTTTCCCTTCTCCAGGCCTCCACTAAGTGCCAATTAGAATTGATTATTATTCATTATTTCTCTTATTACTGATATACACACACACACACACACACACAGACACACACGCAAACACAGAAACACACATTTGCAGCGACAAACAATTTCATGTTCATAGGACTCCGCTCCAAAAACGCGCTCTCTTTTGAGTGTCTCTCTTTTGTTCCCTCTCTGTCTCCCTCTATCGCACAAAAACAACTCCACACCGTTGTTGTTGTCAGCGACAAGGTCTCTCTGCTTCTTCTTTGCGTTTCTTCTTCTTTGTGCGTTTTTTGTTGCTACCTTTTTTTGCCGTTTATTTTTCGCATAACGTCATAACGCAAAAGCAACGTAAAGCCCGTGGATAACGTAAAATAAATTGTTTAAAAAATAAATGAAAGCTAATGAAATATTTGTATAAATTACAGAATAAATGTGTGGCCAAAATGTGGTCAAAAAGTGTGCGATAATTCATGTAACATAACCGTGTAAATATATAAAACGTCTTATAAAAAAAGAGTGTAAGTCAAATAAAGTGCCAAACCAACAAATGTGGCAACAATTTGGCCATTTCTGCGTGTATGCTGTTGTTTGAGCCAGGGCCCAAAACAATCGACAACAACAACAGCAACAACCACAGTGGAAAGTACTACTACTAAAAAAAAAGAGAAAAAAGAAAACGAATATAAAATCTAAAAGATTCACTTTAACGACCAATAAACCGACCAGACGCGATGTTCAAGTGCATTCCAATCTTCAAGGGCTGCAACCGGCAGGTGGAGTTTGTGGACAAGCGCCACTGCTCCCTGCCGCAAGTGCCCGAGGAGATACTACGCTACTCACGTACCCTTGAGGAGCTCTTCCTGGACGCCAATCACATCAGGGATTTGCCCAAGGTGAGTGTGTGTGCTGCCGCAGATGACATGGCTCTCAAAATTGCGTGGGGGAAATTGAATAAAATTCACTCTGGGCGGAACCTTTAGAATTCTGTTGTGGTTTGGGAAGTGCATAATATAAATATTAATGGCTACACCAGTGGGAAATATTCCATCGAATTATCTAAATGAACAAACCGAACGATCCATTATGCAGTTATCTTAAGGACAGATAGCATAAGACAAATAGACAAACAAATTTGTCCAGCAAGATCTTTCCGTACCTCTGAGCAGAACTCTGGCTGGATGACCTTGTTGCGCATCTCACAGCGACGACACGACGAGAGGGGGTTGACGGCGCGTAGTTTACATTCCTTGAAGGACATTGACCCTCGGGGCCTAGGGTCTACTTTGGTCAGCATCCTGGCGCACAACGAGTATCTTTCAGTATCTCTGTATCTTCTCGAATGGAGAAGCGCATCCACCATTTGCGAGCAGACAACAATTACGACAAAAGACTGTGTTGACTCCGTCCGAGCGGAAGTCTTTAATTAATGCAGAGAGCGGGCTGGGGCAGTGACTGTGGCTGGGTATGTGGCATCTTTAAGATTTAACAATGCACAAGCTTTAATATTGAGTTCATGCCATGGGGCTGGGGGCTGGCTGTGGGCTGTGGGCTGTTGCCAGTTGGCTGCCGGCGTTGCATGCATAATTGAATCTACAATTACGCAACTTGTAGATACACAGATACATGGATACGAGTACTCTTGGGCATTGTGTCAACATCAAAAGCCACCGGCTGTAATACCAATTAATAGGCAAGTGCTGCTGCCCCTATGATAATGGTGGACACTCTAGGAGTGTCTTTTGTGGTGAAGGAAAGTTCTGAAACGATCCAGCTTTGATTCACTTTTGTGGAGGATTTTCCTATATTTTTGTCCCTTTTGCAAAAATAGTTAAATAGTAGTTAGTTTAAACTAAATAGTTTTAAAGCTTCCGCTGAACTGCAATTTATTTGCATTTGTATATTCTGGCTTCTGGTTCTGATTTCTGTCGTGTCAGCGGTCTGCCTGTCTCGAGTTTACGAGTGTGTGGTGTTGTTGTGTGTGTGAAAGAGTATCTGCCGGATAGACGAATAAACAACAAACAAACAAGCTGAAACTCTGAGAACTCTGTGGAGCAGGGTAGGAGAGAAATAAACAGAAGAAGCAGCTACGTTGACATAGCAACAAGTGGGGGGTGGCGGATTACTATAAAATATATGTACTTAAGTACATATGTATGTACTATCAACAATTGCAACTCAAGCCGCAGAGCAGCAGCCCTCCCTTCTGGTACTCTGGTTGCAAATTTATTTGCGGTCGCTGTCCATGCGATTGTTGTGGCTAAAGTTTTACCCTAGAGTCTTTTTGCTTCTCCTGCTCCTTTCCTTTCCTCCTTTCACTAATGAACTTCTAATGCAAATTCATGTCTGCCACAAGTCCGACACAGTTTTATTAGAGCAACGTTCAACGGCCGTTGCCGCCACAAGTTGTTGCCGCTGCTGCTCTTGTGGAGCTACCACAATGGACACAAGTCTCTCACAGCAATCACGGGAGATGGGAGACAGCAGCAGCAGCAACGGATGTGCTGATGTTCTGGGGCCTCCGGACAACCCTTTTTTTTTGTTGCTGTTGTCGCTCTATGCAGAACCACATTTCCGCGTTGTCAGAGGCAACAATAAATAGTAGGCCATCGATAGAGGGGAAAACGTTCCCACTCAACTCTCTGGCTTCAATCTACTTCAATCTACATCCCATTCATTTCGGTTAACACAATTGTGGCAATGGGAAATTGAAGTGGGAAATGGCTTTGCTTTCACGGGGTGCGGAACCTACCCCAAGAACAAAACTGAAATTTGTGGCAGGGAGCGAGAGAGAGAAGAGTGTCCCCTCGCCCCGATGCCCCAACCCAAGCGAAGGACTGACTGGTTGTGGGTCCCACCTCCATTCATTTGGGCCAATTAGTCACGGCTCAAAGATAAGATACCAGGTAATCGCCACCTTATCGCCCTGGCATTGCCCCCATCCACAATCCACAACCAGTGCCGGCGTCCCAGTCCCTTGCCTGATTGTCTGCCTCTTGGCTTACGAAACTTGAAGCCGTCGCAGCACAGGTGCACCCCCTTTCTGCCTTCCCTTTTTACATTTTTTCGAACACACTCACACACACACACACACACACACACACACACACACACACGAAAGAGTGCCCCAGAAAATAAGCAGCAGCAGTAGCAGGGCAGCGCGGCAATGACATCATTTTTGGGCAGTAATCGGCATTCGCGTTCGAGTACGAGAAAACCCAATTGACAACAAAAAAAAAACAACAACAGCAGCAGCAGCAGCTAAAGAAAAAACTTTTGACTTTTATTCAACTATTCAGCAAAAGCAAGTAAATGAATAAATCATTGTTTTATTTACCTAAATTGAAAGTAGTCAATTCATTAAACTCATTAAATAAACACGTTGTACAGTATGTAATAGAGATAATTAATTTTTCTGTGTATTAACACATTCCATAGATACATTTTACGGAGCTACATTTTCCTGTAGTTTTAATTTCAATCCCAATTTGTTATTCTCTTACGAACTGTACTTCCACCTGTGGAATGTGTGTTCTCTTTTATTATTTCGTGTTTCTATTTAGTTTTTCCATTCGTCACACACAGAATCTAGACTTTTCATCTCGCTGTGTTGCCTTCTCCTTCTACCCTCTGCAACCCATAGATAGATCTATCTTTAGCGCTGCTTAAAACCGGTTACCCAGCGTTTCGTATACGAGAATATACTCTGAATTTGCTCTCCACTTAATTGTTCTCAATGGCATTCGTAGCTGAGGCGCTGCTTAGCTTTTGCGTAGTCACAAAGATACGTAGATACAGTTGAAAAGAGAGAGAGAGGAGCTTTAGTTTAACTGTTGGCAAGATTTCTCACAGAAGATATAACTCAGATTTATGGCAAATTGCATTGCAATTTCTTTATTTGCATCTGAAAGATGCTAAACTTAATGGGATTGCATTTGAAAGATAGTAAATTGTGAGCGCCAGCAGCTGTGCCCATAAAGAAAGTTTGTTAACAAGCACAGATGCATCTGGTGCTGCAGATAGATACTGTATCTGTTGGTTGGCCGTTACTGCTCTGTGTGTGCGTTGAATAGAAAAATGAAGATGTACAGATTGGAATAGGCGCACAGATGCTCACAGACTGTGTGGATGCGCCACCAGTGTGAAGCTTCCTCCTCCTCCATCTGCATGGATTTGCAAACACACACACACATACACACACATGTTTGTATATTTTCTGTGTATCTACAAGTGGTGTTGCAACTGCTGACAAATGCTGTTGCTGCCACTGGTGCTGCTGGTGCTGCTGCTGCTGCTGTTGTGTATCTGAAAATTCAGTGCGGCGTGAAATACTAAACGTGGCTTCATGGCTCCATGGAAGCTTTTCTGCCGCCATCTCTGGCCACATAATTGTTGCCCACTCGTCTGTCTGTCTCTGGTTCTAGCTTCTCAGCTGGTTATACGCTTCAGATGCGTCGTCCAAATGTATCTAGAACTCGTTTTCCACAGGCCACCGAACGAGTGTGTGTCCATCCGTGTGTTTGTGTCTCTGGGGCTGCTGTTTGCTGGGCGCCTAGTCGTTTGCAACATGCACACACAACCCCAAAAAACAGAGACAGAAAGAGAGCTACAGATACAAATACAGATACATTCGTTGTGTAGATTACACTTGCAGATACAACAACAAACAAAAAAAAAACATTTAAAAAATTGCTCAAATCCAGCGAAGCGCATTGGCATTTACATACAGCAGAGAAGAGAAGAGAACATCACTGCCTTGTCATGGTTCAGTGCTGCAGCTGCGCCTCCATCCAGATGTATCTCTCAGATACTGTTTCCCAGTTAAAAGCAGATACATTCCATTAGGCACACAAATTGGGTTTTAACCAAACAGAAAATTGAATTGTTGTCCAAGCTGCATTGGCAAAAAGATTCGTTTATAAAATGCATTTGGCAGAAAATTAAATTATCGGTTGGGATTCAGGCTGCAACGCAACATGCCATGCAACAGAGCAGTCCTCTCTGCTGCTGCTGTCGTGTCGCAACCAAACGTGGCAGTGCCTTCTGTCGCTTGCTGTGCGCCTGCTCCAACTAGATACAATAGTAAAAGTGTAGCTGTGGCTGTGGCTGTGCCTGTGCCTGTGCCTGTCTTCGTGTGCCCCCAAGCTCTAGTCAGTCTCTAGCTCTTTCTCTCTCTCTCTCTCTCTGTCTCTCTCGCTGTGACGCTTTGCGTGAGTGTGTGGCATAGAAAACTGGTAGGTTGTGTTGCCACATTGCATTTGCCGGCCGGTGTCTGTTGGCCGGCCGGTAATTTATGGTCCATGCACCAGAAGAGAGGCAAACAGACAACCCAAAAGTAAGGCTGAAACTTGCAAGCGTGGGTTGCACATGGCAAAGGGAGGGCGAGAGGCAGTAGAGGAAGAGCGGGTCTGTGTGGCATGGCTGAGTGGCAGCATGTGCCTCTCTTTTGTGGTGCCTGCCAGCAGCACTTGGCTCTGAAAACTTTACAATTCACATTCATTTTTATTGTCATCCATGGGCTCTTGCGTGTCTAAACTTTGGATACTTTGGATACCCTTTTGTAGGCAATGAACACCCCTATTGATACTTAAAAATCGAAAATATGTTGCCAAAAACTTTAGTAAACTTTGGGCTTTAGGAATTTCTAAAATCGATTTACTCTTTCCGTTTCGGTTAAGTTGCTATTGCAGCGCTTGTTTAAAGAGTATCAAATGCCTCTGCTTTCCATTCTGCCCCTTCTGTTTTTTGCTTTTTTCCCTTTTGTTGCATTGCTCGGCCATTGGCCCCGCCCCGGTACCCCATTGCTGCCCGTCGCTTAGCAAACATTTCGCTTTGGGCCATTTTCATATGCAAGTTACGTTTTTTGTACGCTTTTCGTTTGTTTTTTTTGTCTTTTCTGTTTTTGGGGGTGCCTCTGTGTCGCCTTTTGTCTTCGCTGACAGTTGCAACTTTTTGACGCATGATTCGTTGAAAGGTTTGTGTGTTTTCGCCAAAGAGAATCTGGCACATTTGCGGTAGGTAAAAGCCCGAGAACACAGAGACAATAATGGAGTGCCCAGTGCCACCCCCTCTAAGCTTTTGGAACTGCTTTTGTCTTTCCAAATTCCCGGCTGTTCATTCGTTGTCTGTCTCTCGCTCTCTGTCTTGGTTGTGTGGCCCCAAAAGGAGAGAGAGAGAGAGATAATTAGTTTCATTCTTTTGAATTCCATTTCGATTTGTAAGTCCAAAAGGTACGAGTACGAGTATCTACGTGTTTCGTGTGGAATTTCGCTTGTGTTCTGTTTTCTCAGTGTGTTGAAAGTCTCTTTGGCAGTGGGTCAACAATCTCATTGAGTCACGGCCCCCAAAGGCAGCAGACTGCTGCCCATGCCCATTCAGACAGCAGTACTGAATTGCCATTGCCCACTACTCATATTTCCATTGTCATGTGGGGCATACAAATTGCGACTGTGTTGTACCCTTGATAGATGCTTAATTTAGTTTGTACTTAAACAAGATAGTTCTATACAGAATAGGAGCCTCACATATTTAACATTCAGGCTTGTAGAAGGAGACATCGCTCTCTGGGTCTCTCCTTTCCAAGATTTTCACCCTTACGCAAACCCAATATACCCCTTACACTTATTACAGGGTATTCCAATAATACAACAAAAACAGAGGAATTTAATAAACTTTATGATGACTACGAGAACTACGAATTATTTTTATTATTATTCTTGCGGTGGCACAAATGTTTGCGAGGGGCTCAACAATGGGGCGATAAAAAGAGGAGGCAGCGACAACGACCGCCGCCTTCCACCCGGTGCGGCTGTTAACCTTGAGGTCTATGACTCAGTGCAAATGTGAAAATGTGGGAGTGGAAATGGGAATGTGAAAGAGATGGGTCCGTACTCCAGATTGCACTGAAGGAAGGTCAGTGGAGTCTGGGGGTCTGTGGGCTCTTGGGTCTCGGGACTCCCTTCACTTTTGGAAAGTACCAAAAGCTAGACACAGACCGACATAATTTATTTGCGAATCAAAGTCGTGAGTTTTCATAAATGAATTGTTGGCGACATGTACCCCCCTCCCGCCTGTCCATTGCCATGTCTGTGTCCATGTCTGTCTGAAGGAAAAGAAAGCAAAGCCAAGAGACACAGGAGGAGGCTCCTCCAACCGAATCGATCCGTGGCTCCATTCTAATGGACGACTCGACGTTTGGGTCACGGCTCCCCAAAAACAAATGACAAAACTCTTGAAGGAGATTTATGACCACGAAAAGCGAGTCCCTAAACTGAGATGCAATGCCATTTTCTTTTTGGCGAAATCGAATGCTGCCGAATGACATTTGAATGGTAACTCTGTTGTTGTTGTTGTTGCTTTTGTCTTGTGTGTCGTGCTCTGAGGTCTAAATCTTTTCTTTTCTTTTTGTTTCTCTTGCAGAATTTCTTTCGATTGCATCGCCTGAGAAAGTTGGGGCTGAGTGACAATGAAATTGGACGCCTGCCGCCGGATATACAAAATTTTGAAAATCTTGTCGAGCTTGATGTTTCACGCAATGGTAAGTGTTTGCTCTTTAATGTTTGTTTGTTGTTGGGGCATGCAACAAGTGTTTGTGGCAGACAAAATGACTGTTTGGATGTGCTGCTGCTGCTTAGATATGAATCATTGAGTGATTGATGGATTGACAGGCAGCAGCATCTGAAATGCTTGGTTTTGATATACAAATTGAGTGCCACATGCAACGGATGCACTGTGGCATGCATCGTGCGGCGGTTGATGATTCTGTATCAACGATGAGAAAAGTTTCAGGGAGGACACAGCAGGGGATTTCCACTTTTAATTAAAGTGTCTCACGCGCACACCTTTTGCCACCCTCTCACAGTGTGGCTTCGCAGCACTTTTTATGTTTGTTTAATTGAGTGATGGGATTTTTGGACCATCATTCTGGCTTTTTCTTTCAGAAATTATTAAAAATATGCATAGAATATGTGAAACTCTACCCGCTAGCTCTCTACCAGTGAGACTTTGAGTGATGGAAATATGTTTCATGTATTTTCAGCCAGAAATCAATATCAATTGAAACGACTAATTCAATTAAAACATCCATTCCTCTTTTAATGAAATTAAATAACATCAAATAATTGAATGTGCATCGAATAAAACTGATTTTACGTGATTTATGATTATTATTATTGCTTTAACTGGGGTTCAAATGCGTGTGAAATGCCAAAACTCGTACTCATATTTCTCTTCAGCTTGTGTTTTTGCTATGAAATCTTGAATCTCTCTTTGAAATGATTTAATTAAATGATTTGGCCTGCAAAGCCAAAGAATTTTCACGTTTAATTGTTGCAATCGCTTAGATTTAGTTTTCTAGTCTTTTGATTGACTGATACTGAAATACGTTAAATAATTTAATTTGATTAAAAAATGATTTGATTGGAATTTAATATGATAGTTTAATGGATCCAAAATGAGTGGAATTCGTAAAGTAATTTATCTACGGTAAAAGAAAATGAAAATGTCTAGAAATGAATATATATTTCCGTCTGCTTTGCAGTTTTCTAAAGAATGTACCTGAGAATGAATTTTCCTCTTAAAATTTCTCAGCACAGCATGATATTCCCCCAACTTTCAGCACAATTGAAAAGGCCAAAAAAGTGCACAGTGAGGGAGCAGAAAGAGGTTCTCTGCCGCCGCCCCGAACATCCGTCGGGAGCTGCTCTTTTCAGGTCTGCTCTGGCCTCCAAGGAGGAAGCACCCGTCGGAGTTGTATAACTTTTTTAATTTGTGTCATATTCCAATGCACTCGCACAGCCACAGACACAGTCACACACCCCCGCACACACAGATACTGATGCAGATATTTGATTCAGTTGGGGAATCGCAGAGATACGATTCTTTTTTTTTCATAGCATATGGATTTTGTGCTTAAGCAAGCGTAAATCCGTAAACAGTAAACAGTAATTGGAGTCAAGTGCAGCGCCGCTCTACCCATATCCACTTGCTCATTTCACTCTTCCGTTTTGTAGCAAAATAAATGAGAAAATAAATACAAAAAATGGAAAAATACACAGAAAATATAAATCAAACTGCAAGGGGAAACAAGGGGAAAACAAGGCGGGCCTTCCGCCAACTCCTACTGCCATGGCAACCCTGGCAACAGCAACTGCAACAGCGGATATCGTACGAATCATGGTTTATGCATTCACAATTCTTTCCCATCGAATGGAACTCTCCAGCTACACTAGCAGAAAAAGATGCTGAAAGAAACGTTTGAGTCGATTCTCACTGGAAGCGAGAGCCATCTGCACAGGAACAATTAGAAAGATAGCGCGTTCGCTTTACCCTTTGCTGCTTAGCCACACTGGAAGAGAGCGCACCGCTTCCTTCTAACTTTCTCTGAGTGTATGAAGTCAGTTCGTCGGGGCTTCCCTTCCCGTTTCCGTTTCTGATATTACAACCAAAATGAGGGGTTTATTAAAAAGGTTTCATTTGACCAAATATTGCATTACCATCCCCGAGCGATACTCATTGAGTGCACTCATTACCCAAATGGGATCGAGCATTTGAGGTTTGATGACTTTGGCACCGCGTCGCGGCATGCGGCATCGGGTTGCACTGCTGATTATGCACTTTATGCCTTGTACACATGACCCACAAAATGACCGGTAACAACCACCGCATCCCACTCCACACCATCCGATAGCAGCAGGCCAAGTGAATGGTTGTGGAAATCTGAGCTGAATTTTCCTGCATCCCAGAAGGTGAAAGGAGCCGGCGCCCACGTAAAAAAGTTTAGCGATTATCCGCCTGCTGCCTCGTATCTGTATCTGTGTGATTAATGGCCGGCAAAAGAGCGGATAAGTCGATCAGGCAAATATTAAAAGATCTTTTCTTTACTTTTCCCGCTCTGATATGTACGGTGTGTGGGTGGGGAGAGGGGACTGGCATTGGGGGGACCACTCCACTTCTCTGGGAAAACCTTTCACATTCAATTGCTGCCACACGCCGCCGCCGTTCAAGTGCACATTTTATTGAATCGCTTTTTGTTGGCCGCTTTCGGGGAACAGAACTCGTTTTGCTGTCGCACAGGTGTGTGGCATGCCATCCTATCTCTCTCTTTCTCTCTCTCTCTCGCTCTCTCTGTGGGCACACCTTTCTTTCGTTTCTTTTATTGTCACATTTATTTCTTCATTGCTATTCGCAGCGCACAGTCTGATGATTATATTTTCGCCTCAAATTAGCCGTCTCGATTTGTACTTTAGCTGCTTTTGCCACTCACAGCCATCCTTGTTTGCCACTCTGACACTGCCATGTTGCCACAACAATAGATGGCCATGCCACACAGCCAAGTCCGTGAGTTCGCGTTGTTGCTGCACTTGACAATAGAATTTGTTGCAGCAACAGCAGAGTAGCAGCAGCTGGGAGCCGCATTGTCACATTGCAACGCGCGACTGTGGCTAAAAAAAACAATTCTAATAAAAACATGAAATTCCCCTATCGCTCGTTGTCGGCTGTAGGTGTGGGTGTGGGTGTGGGTGTGGGTGGGTGTGTTTACATGTACTTATACACGGCACTGTGCTGTGTGTACACAGCTGTGTTCGAAATAATAGCAGCAATAAGCAGCACAGCCCTTTGCCAGAAACCAATTTGCAATGCTGTTTGTTTGGGTACAAAACTTAATGCAGATTTTCTACGCTTTTGGGAACACTTGCTTAAAAAGCTAGCCGAGTTGTGTGACCCTTCTGAGCCTTATACTTAATGGGATATCTTTAACTGAACTCTCTTTTTCATGATTTTTGTATAAATAGCATTTACATTTCCTTTTAACACGACTTTGACACGAAATACATGAAATATTTCCTCGCTGTCCCACGAATTGGCCATTCCAAATTCAATGCAAAAATGTGTGCATGTTTGTTGTGCTATTCGTGTGACACCCACTGTGTGTGCCCCTGTACAGGTGTCATTGTTTGTCGTCGTCGTCGTCGTCGTCGTCGTCGTCGTCGTCGTCGTCGTCGTCGTCGTCGTCGTCGTCGTTGTCGTTCACTCGTCGCGAGTTGTGCACGTAAATCATTATGACAATTTCTGACCCGCTTACAAGACCTCAAGAGCCAAAAGGGCGCTGCTGCTGCTGTCGCTACTGCTGTGTAAAGTATTTTATTTTTTTCGCAGACTGCTGCTAATTGTTTGTTAATTTGCGTTTTGCGTTTTCTATTTTCATTATATGGACGTGCATATGCATAAGTGTAGTTTTTCCTGCATTTCATGTGTATATTATTTAATACCCTTTCGAAGACTTTAATAGACTTTCTGAGATTGAAGATTGAGTAGATTGATTGATTCACTACATTCTGTAATTATTTCGAAAGATATTGTAGGATAGAAAGAACTAAATATATAAAATTAGAACAAGCGCGTTCACGGTTGCTCAGCTTCTGCCTGTGGCTAGGGTTTCTCGCTTTGCTTGTTCGCTTCGGCTTTGACTTGTGCCTGTATCCTGCATTCTGTCTGTCTTCGATTATGGCAGCCATTCTCATTGGTTCTATTTGCTTGTTCCCACTGATTGCTAAGAGGTATCCTTATTGTCGCAACGCATTTATTTCTACATTTTCCCAACCGCTTCGCCATATCGTTGCTGCACATGCTACATATTTTCGCGAATGCAGTTGCGTTGTTTATGGAAGAGTCAGTCGCTGTGTGTCGGGTTTATTAAATAACAAATATTTCGTGGTACGACCGAGTATGGTACGTATTTTTTTAAGGCTACTTGGCAATGCGTTTGGTTGGTGTGGTGGCAAAACTGTTGCCAAATTCAGTTGGAGGGGGGAATTTGTCATTCGGTTTTTCAAATCGAATGGATTCTCGGTGTGACGAGGCGTGAAGCGCAGCAGATAGCAGAGGGGAGAGGGAGCAGTGGAGTGGGAAGGAGGGGAGAGTCGACTTCCTCCATAATATTATCAATAGTGGAAATTCTGTGATTTATTCAACTGGAATTTGGTTTCGATATAGAGAGAAAGAGAACATCATCAGCAGCAGCACTCTCTCTCTGTCTCTGATTCCCTGACTTGTTAGAGTGGAAAGTTGAGATGCGGTCTTCGATTGTGGAATGTAATTATTTGCCATAATCAGCTTTCCCAGCAATAGAAACGATGGGAACTACATTTATATCTCTGAGAGAGAACCTCCTATATTTATACTACGTAAAGCTGATTGCGACAATCCCTTGGCCCTTGGGGCCAACACACAAAAAAAAAACTCAATTAAATGCCATTTGAAAGTCATGCCCTTAGGCGACACATCTCCTCCACTTGCCTTCAACAAAAATGTGTGTCATACAACTATAATATTTCTTGATGCTTCTTCTCTGCTGCTGTGTTGTTGTGTTGCAATTGAGGCGTCAACTGGGTCAAAGTTAAAGTGCGGTGCTCTTCGCTGCTCCTCGCGGCGGCGCCTCCATTCAAGTGGCGTGCTCATTTTGCTGGCAGAATGTGGCCCCAAGTGCAGCAGCCAGCAAACACACAAATAAAAGATAAGTACAATGAAAATTTAAGC